TTGCTTTCCTTAACAGACCATAAAACCACTCGCTCATTTGTTTGAAAATTTCAGAGGATCATCAATTGATCTGAAATGGCATAGCGTGGATGCTTTCTGCTGGGTCTTTTGTGTAAACTGTGCTAAAATAGATGTCTTAAATTTTGAACTCTCCTAAGCCTATGCTATGTATTGATGTCCACATTTGCTTCCTTAATGGGTTTCTGTTAAAACTTTAATTACTTTAACAATTAGGTGCAGAATAAAGTTTAGGCAGTTAGGGAGATGTGTGTACCCTGTATATTCACCCTCTGTCACATAAGCATTTTCATTCAATAATTAACAGAACTATATCACAAAGACAGTCCAAAAATCAATTCATGGTCATTCCAAATAACTTTTTGTCCGTACATAATAGACTGTTAGAAGGGGCTCTGTGGTGTTGCATACTGTAGGTGTTAAAGATCTGGGCTTGACACTGAAAGGTTGTTGCTTTAAAGGGGTCATATGATGCGATTTCATGTTTTCCTTTCTCTTTGGAGTAGCATGTGATGAATCGCTGTGCCGTATGTGGCGGGATGCAATCACATCTCATCCCTAAACAACAAAAGGCCTCTGTGCTGAAGGTTAAGCGTCTATACAATGACTTGAGTTGTGTCAGGAGATGTCAGGAGTATTTGGATTAAGTGTGCCCTTGATTTTCTTTATTTTTTTTCTTTCTCTTCTACCCTCCTATTCTTTCGGTGCAACTCTTTTGTACTCCTCTATTGTTATGAAAAGGAGTAATGCATCTTGAATCTGACTACATCCCATCCATGCTTGTATTCTCTCTGGTTGGTTCTTCCGTTACAGTATCTGTCTCTGACGTTTCCCTCAATGATTTGCAGTTCCATCATTGTGTATGTCTGCGTTTGTCCTCTAGTTGCACTCTTGTGTATCTGTTTTGCTATATTAGGCATATTGCACAATGAATGTTACCTATTAATGCAGTTGTTTGCCTTTGGCTTTGTGCTCTGTATTTTACTGTCTTTCTTAGCTGACTTGTACAGTATTTGTATAGTGTGACGTGTTTATTATATTATTAATTTTATATATTATATATAGATGTGTTATAAGATGTGTTTTTCTATTCTTATATTATGTAATATTTTATTTTCATTCAATTATTTATTTTTATATTTAATATATAAATATACAGACAAACCAGACAAACATGTATCTTACTGAAATATATTGATTTTTTTAAAATTAATTAATTATTTTGATGATGTGCTTTTGAACTTTATATTCAAAGAATGCCCAAAAACCTAGCGCAGTTTCCACAAAAATATTAAGCAGTGCAACTGTTTTTAATATTGATTATAGTGCTGTCAAATGATTAATCACAATTAATCACATCCAAAATAAAAGTTTGTGTTTACAAAATGTGAGTACACATTGCACATTCATGCATATACTTAATAAAAAGTTTATATTTATGTATGAAATATTTAAATTCATGTATAATATACATTTTATATGTACAGTATGTATATGTAAATATGTATACATATTTACTTATTTATTCACATAGGCTGTTATGGAATGGTCACATGACTTGTTAGTCTCAAGATTTGGTGTAAAATAAGACCTGTCTCTCACAGTATAGATTCAGTGTTTGTCGCTCTGCTTTGTTCTCCACTTTTTCCTGAGTTTTGATTACTTTCGAAACCTTTCTAAAGTCATTTATAATAGTTATTTGGTTATTTGTATTTGTAGTTATCCTGGCAGCATGCACTCTCTCCTGAGACACGTACCCTTTTACTGCAACATCACTGTGATTTACGTTATTTGTTCTTTGCAACTAGTGAATTATTTATTCCACTTACATGCAACCTGCCCTTGATTAATAGACTGAGATTAGTGTGGCATGCACTCTGCCCCTTGTTTGCTGCCAAAATGTTTTACTCCTGCCAGGAAGAAGGCATCTTTTTCAAACACTGAATGAGCATGTGTGAGAACAGCTTTTTAATGCTAATGGAGACCTTTGGGTCAGCACTGCTGTCTGGAGCACCTCTCAGATGTGTGGACGGACCCAATCCATTTCCCCTTTAAAATCCGATGGCTGGCATCTCCGATTTACACCTGTAGTCCCTGAGCTGGCCATGTGATGCATTAGGAAAGAGGATGAGGACTGATTATTACTATCGGTCCTCTTAGCTATCTTTTATTTTATTCTATTCTATTCCTGAAATCTATATATAAAGATCTTCAGGAGCAGCACTAAGCTTTAGATGTTTGAGATAATGAAATGGAGGAGATTGCACTTGTGTTTTGTGTTTTTTACCATCCATGTTCCTCTTCCTGTTTGTCTATGCAGGGAACATCACCTATGGAAGTTATTGGTCCCTTTTTAACCAGCTCAGTGTTTTCCAGCAGCCTATCAGATCCTTAGCCGTCTCATCTTGCTCCGCATTGATTGCAACATCGATCACAATAGAAATACAGAAAGTCAGGCATTTTGTTATTTTTTTCTTAATATAAATTCAATATTACAGAAATAATGAAAAGCTAAAATAAGATAAATATGTTAGAATTACGAGACCTAATAATATGGGGGCTTAATAATAGGGCTTTACTCGGAGTTTGACCCGTGGCCATCTCTGTGTGCAAACCAATCAGTCAAACCTAAGTTCAGTGTTAATAATGTATGTCCATTGGCGCATATGTTGTGCACGAATACAGTGCTACCGTAAGAGATTTCTTTAAAAAACATTAAATAAATCTTACCAACCGCACAGTTTATAACGGTACCTTCTATTGATAAAATCAAATACATTTTTGTTATAAAACCCCTTTTTCCCTACATGCACATGTGCACAGTTTTAGGTAGTTTGTTGGTAGGCTGTAGTACTAAAATTAAAGTTAAAAGTTACACTATTTTAAAATGACCCAAAGTCACCTTTTTATAGCATGGATTTCTAGCTAAATAAACTGGTAAAGTTTTGGTTTTGTCTTTGAAGCGGACTGGCCCTGGTTGGTGAACACTAGACGCACTGAAGCTGTGCGTCATGCCACAGTGTTGACAGACTCGAGTTGTTGCGTCAGTGGCTTCCAATGTAGACATGGTGTATGAGCAGCAAGCTGTCAGTGTGGATAGACCAGAACTGGGAATTTGTCTTCCACTCAAGTCCATCATGACAACTCATAAAGCGCATAACGTATACAACAGAGACCTTGAGTTTTTTTCCTAAATCTAGCTGTGTCCCAAATGATGGAAGATAATCTTGATATCCGTTCGTCCAGTTCATGCTGAAACAGATCTACTCAAATCCAATTTAACTGGATTTCAAGTCACGTCCTCATGAGACTTGGATTGATTTAGTTAAAATCAGATTTCATGCTTTTTTTGCTATTCAGGCTGCAAAAATAGGGATATGCCTAAAAAATCGGCTTTAGACAGGCAGTGTTAATAAATAACCATCTCAGCTTGGCAAACTCCGTGTATGAGCTGAATATACAGTATTAAGGCCAGACACCCCAGGTGAATAAAGAAAAACATTTATCTAATAGATATCACCATACTTCTCCAGTCGTTTCCCCAGTTCATTTTTTTTTTTTGTCTTAAGAGTTTTCTAAAATGTTGTTTAAATATGCAAATGAAGCATGATATAATGAAGTATGCACTCGTTTGCATATAACTCTAGAACAGAAAATTGAACATTGGTTCAAAATTCTTGTTTTGTATTGTTGACATTTTGACATATGCAGCTGAATTCGGTTGTTAGTTCACCTTTTAGTGCTTAATCCTGTTCTCTACACACAGTTCTGTAATTTTACTGAATTTTTTTATTTACGAGAGCGACAACCGCATTCTACAACTGAAAAACTATGATGAAAGGTTATGACAAAATACAAAGTGATTACAGAACTGAACTGAACTACTAGTTAATGATGTATTTAAACGTGTATCAGAGTTGTGTGTCTCTTCTGTATTCACAGTGCAAGAAATTTCAGGGATAAAGGTCTCGACTGTTACCAGATCTTGCTAAAAAAAAAAAAAACTTAAATCCAAACGCTAATAAGTGGACATGGCAACCCTTCAAGAATGCTTCCAAATGTAAACAAAAACACAACATCTCTGTCGACCATGGTTTAGATAAAATCACAGAACATAAGTCTTTGATCGCGATAATATTATTTTAGTCAAAAGTAGTGGATAACAAATGCACGAAATGCCAGAACCTTGGTATGGTTACCAAGGGGTCAATCATCATAATTTCAAGAGATTTCTGTTCCATGCGCAAACAAAATGACTTCTGTAGCTTTACAGCTTCTACGTGGAAGTTCAAATGTTTTCACAGAGGGGATTTTGAATATCTCTTTTTATAACTCCATAAATCAGAAAATTATGGAAACCCGTTTCCTGCCACTGAATAAAAAATAAAACAAGGCGATTGGGACTTTTATCTCAAATTTGGACTTTTACTCGCAATAGCGAGTTTATACCTTGCAATTCTCACTTTTTTCCTCACAATTCTGATTTTTTTTCTCTCAATTGCAAGTTATAAAGCCTTGCAGTTCTGAGAAAAAAGTTTATATATCCACTTTATTTCTCAGAATTGCATGTTTATCTCGCAATTTCGACGTTGCGAGTTTATATCGTGCATTTCTGAGATAAAAGTCAGAATTTCGAGAGATAAACTCGCAATTGCGAGAAAAAAGTCTGATTTGCGATAAAAGTCCAAATAATTATTAGTTTATTTTTTATTCAGTGGCAATAGTCAACTGCCAGGAAAAAAAATCAGTTTGTAGGAATGAAATGTTGTATATGAAATGAAATTAAGTTTTCTTTCACTAGTCTGAAACAACATTATGAAAGCAAATATTCCAAAATCTCAAAATTGACAAGTACCTGTATATGAAAAAGCAATGTTTTTGACTATTGTCTTGCCTTAAATACAACAAAATCCACTAGATCTTCCAAGTCATATTGTTACATGATTTTATATAATCATTTTACATCTCTCGGTCTCTTTCAGCGTTCACCATGATGATCATCCTGGCTTTGATTCGTATTGGCAAGGGGCACAGTGAGGGCCACCCATCTGTGGCTCAGATCTCAGGTGTGCCCAACCTCTTCGGGGTCTGTGTCTACTCGTTCATGTGCCAGCACTCGCTGCCCTCGCTCGTGACGCCCATCTCCAACAAGCAGCTCATGAGCGCCCTGGTCATGGCCGACTACATCCTCATCCTGTGCTTCTACAGCCTGCTGTCCCTCACGGCCATATTCTGCTTCGATAGTTCTCTGCTGCGGGATATGTACAGTTTAAACTTCACGGATAACTGTGACGTCCTGAGCATTCCAGTGTTGCGCTACTTCCTGGGCCTCTTTCCCGTCTTCACCATCAGCACCAACTTTCCCATAATAGCCGTCACGCTACGCAACAACTGGAAGACTCTCTTCCATCGGGACGGCGGCACGTACCCTTGGGTGGTGGACCGTATCGTCTTCCCGCTCATTACTCTAGTGCCGCCCATTATTGTGGCCTTCTGCACTCACGATCTAGAGGCGCTTGTGGGGATCACAGGGGCGTATGCCGGAACTGGCATTCAGTATATCATCCCGGCCTTCCTAGTATATTTTAGTAGGCGTCATCTAGAGCCCGTGTTGGGAAGGGATGCTGTAAATAAGCACCGGTCGCCTTTCCATCACACGTTCTGGGTTTGGTTTGTGATATTGTGGGCAACGTTCTGTCTAATGTTTGTGACGGCTAATATTGTCCTTACCAAAGTCAAGAACTGAGCATACAAGCAGATTTGGTTTGCCAAGCCGTGTTTTTGTTTTAATTTTTGAAGGGTGTTTGTTAGGTTTTATGTTAAAAGAATGGCATTAGCTGAAGTTGAATTCAGTCTAATTTAATTCAGTGTCTAAAAGGGACAAGAAGAAGTTTTGGCATTACTTCAGTAGGACTAATGTGAGACTTTTCTTTCACAAATCTACAATCCTATTGTGAACATTCTGTTAGGCAGGATACAACAAAAGCATTTAAAATCCATATATGTGACCCATGCTGGCAAAATGAGTCACAATGAGCAACTTTTCAAAAATGAGTTCACATTCTCTATTTAAAAAAAATCTTCAAAATGATGATTTGTTGGAATCGGACAAAAAATGTCTGAGCTGCACCCGTTTGAAGTCGATAGCAAAGTCAATGTTGAGAAAAATCTAGTTAAAGTTTTCTGAAGGTTCCAAAACAAAATCACCTAGCAACCATAGATTGAAAATCTCTGGTAATATCACCAAATTTGGCACAAACCAATCTATAGGAAAATATATGTTCAGCTTTTGTTCATGCTACCACAATGCACTGTGCGGGGTGTTTTGACCAATCACAGAAGACGTTGTTGCGACTAGAGGTGTGAATCTTCACTTGCCTCACGATTCGTTTCGATAAAATGATTCTCGATGCATCCTTTCCTCAAATTCTTTTATTAATAATAATTACTATATGAATCATATTATAGTTATTTTTATTTTATCTTTGTTATTAAAAATAAAAACAAAGATGCAAATAAACTTTAGAATCAATCAAGTAAGAAAAACAATCAAATGTAAAATGCTGCGGGATATGTACAGTTTAAACTTCACGGATAACTGTGACGTCCTGAGCATTCCAGTGTTGCGCTACTTCCTGGGCCTCTTTCCCGTCTTCACCATCAGCACCAACTTTCCCATAATAGCCGTCACGCTACGCAACAACTGGAAGACTCTCTTCCATCGGGACGGCGGCACGTACCCTTGGGTGGTGGACCGTATCGTCTTCCCGCTCATTACTCTAGTGCCGCCCATTATTGTGGCCTTCTGCACTCACGATCTAGAGGCGCTTGTGGGGATCACAGGGGCGTATGCCGGAACTGGCATTCAGTATATCATCCCGGCCTTCCTAGTATATTTTAGTAGGCGTCATCTAGAGCCCGTGTTGGGAAGGGATGCTGTAAATAAGCACCGGTCACCTTTCCATCACACGTTCTGGGTTTGGTTTGTGATATTGTGGGCAACGTTCTGTCTAATGTTTGTGACGGCTAATATTGTCCTTACCAAAGTCAAGAACTGAGCATACAAGCAGATTTGGTTTGCCAAGCCGTGTTTTTGTTTTAATTTTTGAAGGGTGTTTGTTAGGTTTTATGTTAAAAGAATGGCATTAGCTGAAGTTTAATTCAGTCTAATTTAATTCCGTGTTTAAAAGGGACCAAAAGACGTTTTGGCATTGGATCTGTGACTTCTTTCTCACAAATCCACAATCCTTTAGTGGATGTTCTGTAAGGCAGGGATTATTTGCAAAAGCATTATTTAAAAACCATACATGATGTGCTCATTCAAAACGTCAGTTGATATGTAGGTTCTTGAGTTATTTTTGATTTTCCTCTTCATTTAGGTGAACCTCAATAAAACATGATTGAGTCACGCTCCACTCCAAAAGAAAAAAATAAAATAAATACAAATAAATTAATTCAAATAAAATCATATTCATAAGAATGAAAAAGTCTTTGCATATGTGATGTTGTTTGCAAGACAGTTTAGCACATTTACCCCAAATTCTGTTCTGATTAATACTTATCATTTTTGTAATACAATAAAAAAAAAAATATTATATTATATTGTATTATATTATATTATGTATTTATAATTTTTTGCATTTTAACAATGAAAACTTGGTGGGAAGGTGTGGTTTAATTGTCTTTTTTAAATTGTAGTGTTCTTAAGTGTATAAACATAATTTAATTCCTTATCTAAATCTTTTTGATATTGGGGTGAAATGTGGCCTTCACATTTTCTTGATGGATTTCATTTTACCGTCTGATTTCGTTCATCTTCAGAACAAACAACAAGCTGGTGTGTCTTTGTTCTTTTGGACTGAAAAAGTCAGCCCCCCCCCTAAAAAGTACACCAAAAATATTCCTAATATTCATCAAGTCAAAGACAAACAGACTGACAATAAGCGTTCCTAGTTTTCGTCTTCCAAGATTGTTACCGTTTCCCAGCTGGCATTTCCGGCGTTCCTAACCGGCGGCTGGCACCTCGCTGCGTCTCCTGCGCTGACGGATGGTGACACCAGCGCAACGCTTGTCTGAATAATGTGCCCAGACCTGGAGTTCAATCTCAGTTCATCAGCAGATTGATAGAGGCATTGAAAGCTTGCATATGTTCTCCATGTAGTGACGTCTTACCCGAAGCTCAAACGGGCCCCTTAGGGAGGCAGGAAGGGAAGACAAACCAGATATTAAATGGACACATCTGCCTGATGATCTACAGAGACTGAGATTTATCAGGATCAATATGGAGCACCTCATCGTGCCTGAGAGAACACATTCACACGGTTATTAATGTTAATGTCACTTTAGTTCTGATGTAGTTGTCTTGAGTTTGGCTTTAATTCATACCAAATGTACGGCAGCTGATTCCTGCCTTTCGTTTTGCACATTTTTGGTTCATTTTTGCTCCTTAAAGGGATAGTTTACACAAACTCATTATTTACTCACCCTCGTGTCATTGCAGACAGTTCGACTTTCTTTCTTTTTTGGCCATATAATGAAAGTCAGTGGGGTCTAGTGTTATTTTTTGGCCCTCATTGACTTTCATCATATGGCCAAAAAGAGAGAAATGAAAATCAGTGCGGTCCAAAATAGCATTAAAGGCTGAGTAAACAATGACAAAATAAAATTTTAGCTGAATTATTCATTTAATTTCTCCACCTCATGCCTGCCTCAGGTTTTGGTTGGCAACATGAATCTGTCCCAGACTTATTAGTTTGACACGCTTCTCTTTTTTTTCCCCTGTGTTGTTTGCCAGCGGTTGATTGGTTTGATCTGTGATGTGTTTGATACTGTAAACTGATCTCTGCTCTCTGTGAGAGCGCTGTCTCCTGATCTAAGAGAACCGTATCTGAACCTGCGCTTGAGTTTACGCCATTTCTGCTGTAGGTTTGGCTTCAAACTGCTGTTGATTTAAAGGGAAATACATCTGTAGGATCGTGTTTGTGGACAGAATGGATGTCTCCTTATTCAGTTCTTTCTCTGATGTGCTCCACAAACAAACTGTAAGAACTCCTGTATGTCTCCCTAAAGCACAAAAGCAAGTCATTTCACGTGGGTGAAATGTTATAATGTTACCAAATGCTCATGTAATATGTCCATGAACGAAACAAATGTGCCTTCTTTCCAGGAATCTTCCTGCTTTCACCAATTTCTCTCTCTTTCTTGCTGTCAAATGTCTTTTTCTTGAGTGTTTGTTCTGTGCAGCCTGTCACTTGCATGTAAGGCACTTCAAATACTTGACAATCACATCCACCGATGTCTCGTTAAAATAAAAATGGATATGCTCTTTTTGATCTCTGAGATTGACTCGTGCATTTGTTTTTATTCCATGGTTTGTGTCACAAAATAAATAAATAAATTAAATATATAAATATTTTAAAGTATGTGTAAAAGAAAATTCTCAAAGTGTATGTAAAGTATTGTTTTGCATATAAAAGGTTTTAAATTGGCCTTTTCATTTTAATATTTGCATTACCTCAAGATTGTCTTGGCATCTGTAATTGTCAAATGTGTATTTTTTTTTTTAAAGGATGATGCAGTTTGATTCTTTAAAAAAAAAAAACGTGAAAAATGTAATGTTTAAAATAGTTGTCACTGGGCCAGTAATACTATATTGTTTGTTTGTTTATTTAATATTATTCTAATTAAAAAATACTAAGTAGTTTTTAGTATATTTATTAGCCTGATATTGATATAATATCTTTAAAAAAAAAAAAACGTGAAAAATGTAATGTTTAAAATAGTTGTCACTGGGCCAGTAATACTATATTGTTTGTTTGTTTATTTAATATTATTCTAATTAAAAAATACTAAGTAGTTTTTAGTATATTTATTAGCCTGATATTGATATAATAGCTGTGTAAAAACTGCAGAAATCAACTAGAGGACAATACTAAACATTCACTCAAGGACATTTTGAATCTTTTCCAAAGTGCTCCGAGTTAACAAGTCTAGCTCTTTATTATGATCATAAACCTCTGAATTTTAAATTGTAAATTAAAATGTCCCTCTTAGTTCATTCGTATTTCACTTAATTTTGCCTTGATTTATGCCACATTCTTGGAGCCACTTGAAAAGGCAGTGCAGTCGCTGGATTTCAACCTGATTGGATGAAATGTGGCGTTTTTATGGGTTCACTCGCTTTCTGAATAGTAGCCTGCATTCTCTGAGTAATAATAGCAGAGAAGCCAATTACTACCTCATCATAAACCTTGCTTTACTATCAGCTGTTTTTGTTTATTTTTAAAGAAACGAATTCTACATCCTTTTTTTCAAATTATACATCTTAAACATTAGGTCATTAAAAATTACATGAAGGTCAGGAATTCCAGATGCTACTTTTTAGTCCATCGATCAATCTCGTAGATGGACGTCATCCGTGTTTCAGCCTGCATTCGTTTATGTCCTACCTTTAAACTCTGCTCTATTGATTCGATAAAGAAGGATATTGATCCACACTTGCTGCACAAACTAGACTTAATAGAGTACAGCACGGGCTGAAAACATCGACTATAGCCAATCTGTTTCAGAACGAATGTACAGGGAAGAGTTTGCATCTCATTTGTGGTGCTTATGCATCATATTTTTATTATGGTTAAAATACTTAAAATACCATAGACTGGACCCTTTGGACTTAAAAATGTAATGAAATGATGGCAATTGTTTAACAGATTCATGAAGACTTCAGCTCTCCATGAACTGCATACCCTACTGAAAAAACAGCTAAAACCAGCCTAAGCTGGTTGGCTGGTTTTAGCTGGTCATCCAGCCTGGTCTAGACTGGCCATAGCTGGTCAGCAGGCTGGTTTTAGAGGGGTTTTGGCCACTTTCTTAGCAGGTCAGGCTGGGAGACCAGCTAAAACCAGCTACTTCCAGCTTAAACCAACTAAGACCAGCCAACCAGCTTAGGCTGGTTTTAGCTGTTTTTTTCAGCAGGGTATTGAGGTACAGATCGTTTTGTAAACAGCGTTTTAATGCAGGCCGTCTCACTGTCTATTGATCAAC